TTTGAAATCCAATTAAGAAACAACAAAGACGATTTCAACAAAATATGTTTTATATTTCATTAGAGTATTCATTTCTGCATGATTTCAACATAAACACAATTCAGAAATAACGATGATAAAGAATTGAAAAGGAAACAAACACATTGGGGGTTCAAACATGGATCAAAACAATAAAACTGAACAAACATAAAGTTTTTCAAAATGCCCGGTACACAATTTAGAGCCATGTACTGCCTCAGTAGCGAGTATGTCCTCCTTGAGCATTGACACAAGCAACAATACGTCAGCGCATGGATGACGTCAAGCGTCTAATGACGTTGCGTGGAATCTGTTGCCAGGCGTCATTCAGACACTGTTCCAGCTGTCGAACGTTGACTGGGGTACTGGTCTGTTTCTAATCTGCCTGTCGAGGTGGTCCCACAAATGCTCGATAGGGTTTATGTCTGGTGAACACGCTGGCCATGGTAAGACGTGGCCGTTCATGTTGTTCAGGTAGTCTCTTGTCAGTCCGGTGGTATGAGGTCTTGCATTATCATGTTGGTAGACAATGCCACGTGGTTGTTGGTGAAGGAATGGAAGGACTACCGGTCGCAGAATGTCATCCCTGTACCTCTGTGCAGTAAGGTTGCCACGAATGATGACTAGCCTTGTTTTCAGTTCACCACATATTCCTCCCCACACCATAACACCACCTCCACCATACGCCGGAACTTCCTGGATACAGTTAGGAGCTAAACGTTCTTAAATACGTCTGTAGACACGTTGACGGTCATCATCTGTGAATACGCAGAACCTGCTCTCATCCGAAAAGAGGACACGTGACCAGTCTCGGACTTGACAACGTTGAACTTGTCTTGTCCACTGGAGCCTGTTACGCCGGTGTTGTTGTGTCAGTACCACCCCACGGTATGTGCGTCGTGCTCGAATACCATTTTCACGCAGTCGTCGTGATACTGTCTGTCGACAGATACGATGTCCGAGTGCCGTTACTGCCGTTGCTGTTGCCGGGATGAAGCGGTTCCTGAAGTGGATTACCCGGATGTAGCGGTCCTCCCGGGGCGTGGTCACCCGCGTTCTCCCACTTCTCGGCCTGTCTAATGTCTGCCCTGTCTGGCGGAGACGCTGAAACAACCTGGTGATGCATACCCGGATGCAGCCGAAGGTTCTCGCGATGAGGGCATGTGGCCATTCCTACGTCTCTCTCTCTCTCTCTCTCTCTCTCTCTCTCTCTCTCTCTCTCTCTCTCTCTCTCTCTCTCTCTCTCTCTCTCTCTCTCTCTCTCTCTCTCTCTCTCTCTCTCTCTCTCTCTGTACTGCGGTCAGGCGTGGAATATTCTTGTGTGCTTTTTTATTCTGTGACAATGCCTTGTGTCATCAGCTGCTTTTATACGATTTTTCTACACGTGCATTTTGTGGAGCATGTGCATGTTACTTTTTCAGATAATGAGCGTTTGAGCGAGACAGTTCATGAGACGAGAAATTTGTCATTACACATAAGTAGCCATTGCCTAGGCACATGTTTCTGTAAATTTTCCTGGATCTAGGTTAAAAATTATGATTTTAACCGTCAAAATATTTGGTATACTTTCTTTGGGACGGTAGTATATTTTGGTTCAGATCAATGACAATTGTAATATGCCTCTGCTTGCTGTTATTTAACATATTAAATACAAAACGTGAAAGCAGGAAAATAACCCGTCTTCATAGAACCACATCCATTGGAAATCACATGATTGATCACTAAAGACTCCAGGTGTCCGCCCAAAGGATAGCATTGTCCTGCTGTACAATGCACGTTTAGTCGGGTTCTTTGAATTTATTTAAATAAGTAATCCAACACAAGGCGTTCTTTATGAAACTACAGTGCCGCTCATAATATTATCATTCTGTTGTACCGTGTGCAAATTAGTTGAATAAACCTTGAAGGGTTGATGCTGTTGAGGATACAAGAGGAACTCCATTGTTGCATAAATAACATGAACACGCATTAGCTGTTCGACATTATTATGAACATACGAAAAAGTTCGAACAGTCTTTCATACTTAGGTTGCAGGTACATCGTTATATATTCTCCAAACATTGCCTATATACTAGTATTTTACTGATGTTGCCTCAATACTCACAGCATATTGTTACATCCAAACTGGCTTCTCTGTCCCAGTAGTGAACACTCCCCAAAGAAAAGTTCCCAACAACCTATGATTGTATGATTCTGCCAAATACTGGTCGTCAGAATGGGTGACCTTGTCATCGACCCCGACTACAGAGACTGTATCTCGTCTGGTGAAGACTCGATCTTTTCAGGTCGCTCTGTTATAGACTGAGACCGGCGTCAACCAATATGGCCCCCAATGTTCACGTATACGATTGTCCTGAAAGCTCAGGTTACAAATGCCAACATCAATGGGGACATAGAGCGCGTGAAAAACCTCAATTATGAAATGAGTGTAATAAATGAATGTAATAAATGCTATAAGCGACCTCTTATCGTGATTCTGTTTTTAGTTTATTAATGAAAGTTTATATGCCGGAACGTTGTGGTAATGATGGTGTGAGGAGCGAACGATATTGATGTGTGTGTGTGCGTGCGTGCGTGTGTGTGTGCGAGCGCGCGCGTGAGTGTGTGTGAGGGAGAGAGAGTGTGTGTGTGTATGTGTGTGTGTGCGCGTGCGCGCGTCCGTGTGTTATTTGGCTCTCCGAAACATTATGCAACTTATTTACAGCTTATGTTGTTTTGACAAAAACTTACACGGCATAAAGTCTTTCAATCAATGTTCAGCGTTGCGAGCGTCTTAAAATTAAAATGACATTATACAAGGTTGAGTTTGTATGGCGTATATATAAAACAAACCACTAGAGCAAATAGAAAAAACCCAAACAATTAAATGTTGATAAATTATTGGTGGAACGGTTTGAAGTATGTATGAAATAGATGACATTTTCGTCGTTTTTTATTCGAATTAAGATAATTTTTAATTGTAAGAGTAAGCTACCAGTTATTAACAGCTAATGTTGTTTTGCCACGACTGTCGTTCGTTTTGTTTGTTTGTTGTTTAACGCCGCACTCAGCTATATGGCCGCCTATATTCCAGCTATATGGCCGCGGGCTGTAAATATTCGAGCCTGGACCAGATAATCCAGTGATCAATACAATGAGCATAAATGTACGCAATTGGGATTCGATGACATGAGTCAACCAAGTCAGCGAGCCCGATCACCCGATCCCGTTAGTCGTCTCTTACCACAAGCATGGGTTGCTGAAGATCAGTTCTAACCCGGATCTTCACGGCTTCCACGACTATGGTAGTGATAGTTAGAAAATACATTAGTTACGTGGTGTAAATGAACACTTCGGGACTCCGGCTGTAACAAATCTGTTTAGACAAAGGAACGCAAATGCATCTGAAAAATATTATCGGCCACATATTTGTACACAGTTATGAAGAACAATTACCGTATTTCCTCTAATAACCGCCTTGAATAAAGCAGTGCTTTAAGAAATAAGCGCCGGGTCTCTAATAAGCGCCGGGTATAGACCTTTGGACAGATGGACAGAATGAAGGGTTTGTACTCATCCCCGCTCTTATTAGAGGAAATATGGTATGTGGCGATCACAAACTTTCTGTCGTTCAAACATGTCATTTTACGCAACAATTCATACTACACTCTCTTATCATACTCTCCGGCAACTGGCATATAAACACCCTAATTATAAATCAGTTTTGTGTGAAAATACCATCAAGAGGCACAATAGCAAGAGAGTGTACTCTCTGTAACAAACAAGCACTTGATTATGATTTCCATATCCTTCTCCACTGTGAAAACTTAATACAACACGAAATGATTTCTTTGCATACTTAATTGACAAACTTGATGTCGAAACTTACGTAATATTTGAAATGCAAGATGAAGAGACGGTGTCATTTCTGTTTGGAGCAGATACACCACCTTGTGAAGTGTTATACCGAATGATTCTCCCCATGTTATATATTTATGTCTATATGTCCGTAAATATCCACTTGTTAATATTCATGAACATGTTGTAATCATAGATTCAATACATATGAAGATATCAGTACTATCATAATACACCTGAAAAACAGCATGCCATGCGATAGATCTCTTTGTGGTACATAGAGATGATAAATAAAATAAAACAGAATAATAATTATCTTAATTCGAATAAAAAAACGACGGGAATTTAATCTATTTCATAAATATTTCATACGTTCCACCAATAATTTATCAACATTTAATTGTAGTTTTCTATTTGCTCTAGTGGTTCGGCTTTGTTTTGTATATACACCGTGCCAACTCAACCTTGTATAATATCACTTCAATTCTATGACGCTCGCAACACTGAACACTGATTGAACGACTCTATGCCGTGAACGTTTTGGTCAAAACAACCTACGCTGTTAATAACTGGCAGCAATATGCATGGTCACACGCACACGCACTCACAGTCCTTGAACCGCCTTAAAATTATATCCCCTTCTGACCAGCCCTTACTGCAATGCTAAAGCTCTATATGAAGCAAGTCCAGATTTCCTGTATGTCCTCCCTCTCTCTCTCTCTCTCTCTCTCTCTCTCTCTCTCTCTCTCTCTCTCTCTCTCTCTCTCTCTCTCTCTCTCTCTCTCTCTCAAACACACACAACACACACACAACACACATCACACACACACATCCGATAGGTTCCAAAAGAGTTCTCCTCGTTCACAGATACTGCTATTCAAGATGTTGTCATTCAGTGTATAAGTGTCCCGTTACGCACCATTTCATGCAGTTACTGCCTGACAGATCTTTCAGAAAGCACTATACTCACGTGCTAAAAATACGTACACCTCGTACGGCTCCCAGTGATTTATATATGCAGGTTGTGGATGCGAATGTATGGTTGCATTGTTACGATGTATACCATCTGTTAAAAAATCGATGCATTTACAATCTGGCTTCTGTGCATCGCAAGCAAACTATATTAGCAGCACAACGTCACTCACCTTAGCCGCTGCCTCGACCTTCCCCAAACACAACCGAATCCGACGACTGTTCATTCGAAATACCTCGGTGGATGGGAATGCCCCCTTCAGCTCCGACGTTATCAGAGTCCCTTGAGATGGGCTGAATGAAAGCTCTGTTGCCAGGCAACACTCGGCCCAACAATCTGATTAGTGTCTGGCTTGTACTGAAGCCCTGGTTACACAGGAGCGATGTAGGACGCAGAGCAAAGGGTATTTGTATGCATTTTATAATCCCATCAGCTTGCAGCAATAAATAATTAACAATGTTCGTCATGGAAGGTAGTCCCTTGAGACTAAAGTGTCAACGACATAAGTCTTCTCTTCACACACTTGTGTATGGAATTCTACAGGACGAGTGGCTATGAGAAACCGCTGCGTTCTTTAATTAAATCTTATCTGTATGTCAAGGTTTGTGTATGAACAGATGTGCACGGAAAAGGACAGACGTGCGTATTAAACCTGGATGTCAGGTTGTTATTGTTTGTTTGTGGTTATGCGCCGCACTCGGCATCTATATGCCGCAATATCCCTATATGTCTATATGTCTGTAAATAATCCAGTCTTGGCCAGACAATCCAGTGATTGACATAGTTAGCATCGATTTGTGTGTGTGTGTGTGTGTGTGTGTGTGTGTGTGTGTGTGTGTGTGTGTGTGTGATTGATATAATCATAAATACAGAATCAGATGGTAATATAATTTGATAAAAACTGGTCACAGATATTGACTTTCGTGCTGCAATTTATTGTAATTATACTTAACTACAATACACTGATTTCGTTCCATTATTTTGCAATTGAATTTGTTATGAATCTGAATAAAAACACCAAATGGTTTGATCTTTTTCAAATTTGTCGGCTATGTAACTTTGTGAAAACTGGCACCAGATTTTGTTTTTAGTTCACGATATATGTGCGTCATTTAGCTTCATAACGTGACTTCCACAGTTGAATGTGATGCCGCTTTTAAAAGTAGCCGTCTTATATCATGGTGCATCTAATAATGTGGATAAAAGCCAGAAATGATGCAGGGGCAGACCTTTACCCCTTTGATAAAACGTGTTGGATGGCGACAAACCTAAAATTATAAACCAAACCGGGATTCGAACCTAGCGCAGACATCTTGGTTGGCTGTCCCCCAATCTATAATGCAGGACCACTCTAAACAACATCTTGAGTGTTGCTATGGTAACGAAGCGCATGTGCAACAAACACACCACATGCGAGAAGCTAGTCCATCAGAGGCACTTGTTGACAATTTCTGAATTTCATAATTTCGATTTGCCACGCTTGGAGCTATTGTGTAACGTCATACATGCTCATTAGGGTATTTTATATTGTACTTGAGTTTAAAGAAAGAGTTGATTTTCTCCTACAATGACATCATAGAGTTCAATACATAAGGTCCAAATGCACTGGCATCACGCTCTATATTTATTTCATACCCTTTGACGACACAGACTGTTTAATCAGACTCTTGACGTCACTCTTGAAAATTCCGCATTCAAGTTACCGTGAGCATCAAGGGACGTATCAAGTTCAAGCTTCTGATCACGAGAGAACAAAGCATAATTATACTTGACACGAATCAACTTCCATTTAATAACTATAACGTTTCAACGATTTCATTTAGGACACACTTTTGAGATCACTCCGTCTTTCAATTGTTTTTGAAACTTAGCGAAGTTCAAGGTCAGGCAGCCGTGCAATGGGGAGTTGCCTAAGCTCGCCGTATTGCGCGGCTGTATTGCTGTAGTAAGATTAAACGGGATTGTAAAATTAATTCCACATCTACGTGGTGGTGTGTGGTCCTGTACAGAGCCCAGGTCACAAATCATTAACAATGTTGGTCGCAGAGAGTTCTTAGATGGGTGACCGTGTTTGGCAGCTTGACTCCAGAGAGTTCTTAGATGGGTGACCGTGTTTGGCAGCTTGACTCCAGAGAGTTCTTAGATGGGTGACCGTGTTTGGCAGCTTGACTCCAGAGAGTTCTTAGATGGGTGACCGTGTTTGGCAGCTTGACTCCAGAGAGTTCTTAGATGGGTAACCGTGTTTGGCAGCTTGACTCCAGAGTTCTTAGATGGGTGACCGTGTTTGGCAGCTTGACTCCAGAGAGTTCTTAGATGGGTGACCGTGTTTGGCAGCTTGACTCCAGAGAGTTCTTAGATGGGTGACCGTGTTTGGCAGCTTGACTCCAGAGAGTTCTTAGATGGGTGACCGTGTTTGGCAGCTTGACTTCAGAGAGTTCTTAGATGGGTGACCGTGTTTGGCAGCTTGACTCCAGAGAGTTCTTAGATGGGTGACCGTGTTTGGCAGCTTGACTCCAGAGAGTTCTTAGATGGGTGACCGTGTTTGGCAGCTTGACTCCAGAGAGTTCTTAGATGGGTGACCGTGTTTGGCAGCTTGACTCCAGAGAGTTCTTAGATGGGTGACCGTGTTTGGCAGCTTGACTCCAGAGAGTTCTTAGATGGGTGACCGTGTTTGGCAGCTTGACTTCAGAGAGTTCTTAGATGGGTGACCGTGTTTGGCAGCTTGACTCCAGAGAGTTCTTAGATGGGTGACCGTGTTTGGCAGCTTGACTCCAGAGAGTTCTTAGATGGGTGACCGTGTTTGGCAGCTTGACTCCAGAGAGTTCTTAGATGGGTGACCGTGTTTGGCAGCTTGACTCCAGAGAGTTCTTAGATGGGTGACCGTGTTTGGCAGCTTGACTCCAGAGAGTTCTTAGATGGGTGACCGTGTTTGGCAGCTTGACTCCAGAGAGTTTCTAGAACATTGTCCTGCCCCACAACGAAGCACATGTGGCACACGTGGCCTCACCCTAGGCAATTGAGTTTGTTCATAAATTGCCTCTGTTCACCCAGCAGTGAATGGGTACCCGGTGGGATAAGTCATGTGACTGGTAACCTTCTAACACTTCACAGGCTGCTTTGGTTATCTGGAGTAATAATGTGTTAGCGCCTCCAGCATGCACAAGTGTGTGGAAACAGGCCCTTTATAAATAGCCATTAGAAATATCTGATGAATGGATCAATGCAAGCAAATACAACAAAACAAGCTTCTTTGATCACATGACCTCTGTTACATCGTGTCTGAGAAAACTATGAACTAAAAAAGCAAATATATTAAGCGCTTAATTATTAAAGAATTTATGCAAGCAGTTTATGGTGCGAAAAATACACAATTGCCTTACATGATGCCTTGACACCGAAGTTTATAATTCTGTTTAATATTTTGTTTCGGCAAAGTATGTGGTTTCTTTAAACAGGAAAGTCGGGGAGTGCAACTAACGGGACTTTAATTGGACACTCCCGTCCAATCCTCCGACTTCAGGATGAGATCAACAGATCGTTGCTAATAAGTTGGGAAATGAGCTGACAGAGGTTTGATGTGATGGATCGTGTCAAGTTTCAACTATCAAGCGAACTTGTTTTAATTCGAGAGTTAATGTTCAAAGACATCAAATAAACCAACTAACGCACATCCAGTGTTCCACGCCATTGGAATTTGTAATGGTGACTGGTGACATTTCCAGTGTAATAGGGTGATGCCGCTCTCTCTTAATTCAGTACTTGAGGTTCTGTCCACCACGCTTGTTACGTACAAACTGAAGATTCACAAGTACAGTTGACCCTAGACTAACATCTAGTCTCTGAAATGAATATTTATAAAAATAACTGTTCATAAAAAAAACCATAAATTTTAATGAAAAGGAGCTCAATAAACTGGTAATGTAGACTTGCCACACATTCTAGACTTGCATGGACTTTCTTGGATATATTTGTTCCAGGGTATGTATAACAGGCTAAGTTGATCTGATAGATCCGGGTTTGAATGGATCTTCATATAGACTAACATCAAGTCTCTAACATGAATGTAATTTACCCAATTACGGTCCTAACTTAAAATAATAAAATATACTGAAAAGGAGCCCAGAGACCACTCCCCCCTATCCACCCCTCCCCCCTCTTAAAATCATCATCATCGCCATAAATTATGAACGGTCCGTTACTGCCCCAACCACCTCCATCTCCCACTGTCAGAGGCGTGGCTAGTGGAGGGAGGAGTAAGTATCAAGTGTCTCCAAATCTATTTTTAGAGCAGACAGGGATACCAACTGATGGCAGCATCTCCTGAGATTCCTATGGCTGAACAATTGGATCTCTAAAAAACTCCATTGAGGACACCAACGCTACTATTATTTCTCCAAAATCCAAAGGTTCTGTCTGCACTACATGTGGCAGTTTAACTGATGTCGCATCAAACAGGAGAAAACTTTGACATTGTGGTAATCAAAGCTGCACGCATCATCACTCTCGCCAGTCCTCGCTGTCACATCTCTCCCATTCTAAACTCTCTACACTGGCTCCGTATTCGTGAAAGGATTGATTTCAAGATTCTCTGCCTCACCTATCAGTCTTTCTACAACTCAGGACCTTCCTACCTTCAAGACCTTCTGACACATTACTCTCCAGAAAGAACTCTGCGCCCATCACAAAACTGTTACTTGCTGTCCCGAGCTACAATCTAAAATCATTTGGCTCAAGAACCTTTTCATATGCAGCAGCTTCTCTGTGGAACTCTCTCCCTATCGAGTTAAAATCATCTCCTTCCCTAAGTACATTCAAAACACGACTAAAGACGCATCTATTTCTCCGCTACAAGTGACTTCCAATCATCCGTACCTGCCAGCAGTATATAGTTTTAACTTGAGCTCAGGAAGCGCTTTGAGCATATCCCTGTGACGTGGAAAGGCGCTATATAAAGGGCCTATTATTATTATTATTATAATCTAGGCCCGCCACATAATCTAGACTTGCATTTACTTGTGCCTTTTACTCCGTTAAAGTGACCAAGGGTGTTCACTTCACTATGCACAACCAAATATGTGATATGTGAAAACACTTTGTCCACCACTGTTACCTTAGGTGTACTGTATCATGACATCATTACAGGCCTACATTACAATATATGATCAGCCGGTCTCTCTATCTGACATAATCCACATTAACATACTAAAGGATTTGTAAACTTGGATTTATAGCTTATTACCTTTCATGATTATGAAAATAGGACTACAGTTCAGTAAGATTTTGAATATCATATCCTATGAGAAATAGACATAGAGGCCATTTTTATAGGAACTTGACTAATAGTACTGTTTCCTCAAATACCAACCTACATTCAGTCATGCGTTACTGATTCCCTTTGTTTCAC